ACGGGCGACTGCAGGGTTCTAGGACGGCACACAGGAGACTGCAGGGTTCTAGGACGGCACACGGGCGACTGCAGGGTTCTAGGACGGCACACAGGCGACTGCAGGGTTCTAGGACGGCACACGGAGGTGACTGCAGGGTTCTAGGACGGCACATAGGGGCGACTGCAGGGTTCTAGGACGGCACACGGGCGACTGCAGGGTTCTAGGATGGCACACAGAGGCGACTGCAGGGTTCTGAATGTGTCTTCGTTTTCCTTTTCTTCTTTTCCTCTTCCTTCTGTAAGAGTTTTGAGGGGAAACTCAGTTTTTGGCTGCTGCAGCACTCACTTCTCTTCCTGGGCTTTTATACAGACTCAAGGCCCACAGTAGAGACACTGGGACCCACCATGAAGAGCGAAGAGACAACCACCCCGTATCCCATCGACGAGGAGGCCACAGAGTGTGGGGAGAACTGCAGCTTTGAGGATGGTAAGGATGGGGGGGGCAAGAGTCATATATCAGCTGAAAGGTACTGACCAGTCAGAATGAAGGCTGGCCTGTGGCTGGTCAGAAGTGGAGGGGGTCTTAGGGAAGGGGTTAGGGAGATGTGTGTACTCAGGGGCTTGAGGCAGTGGCTATTTCCAGTTACGATTGAGTCAGCTCTGACTCTTGGTGACCCATGTGTGTCAAAGTACACTTGTGCTCCATAAGATTTTCAGTGGCTGATTTTTTGGAAGTAGATCACCAGGCCTTTCTTCCAAGGTGCCTCTGGGTGGACTTGGACCTTCAACTTTTCAGCTTAACCATTTTTACCACCCAGGAACTATTTGTTGTTATTGTTGTTAGGTGTCTTTGAGTCCGCCTCTGCCTCATGGCAACCCCGTGCACAATGGAATGAAATGCTGCTGAGTTCTGTGCCATCTCCACGATCAGTTGTGACCTATAGGGTTTTCAGTGGCTGATTTTCTGAAGTAGATCACCAGGCTTTCTTCCTAGTCCATCTTAGTCTGGAAGCTCCACTCAAACCTGTTCAGCATCATAGCGGTACATAATCCCCACTGACAGATGGGTGGTAGCTGTGCTTGAGTTGCACTGGCCAGGAATTTAGCCTGTGTCTCCTGCACGGAAGGCGAGAATTCTACCACTGGAACACAACCCATATATTCAGATATTGTAACAGCCAATACAGCCCTTCTGATGTGAACCCACTGATCGTCAGCTGAGACAAGAATCCATCCAGAGAGAGCTCCTCCTTTGAGAAGTCGTGCTTTATGCCCCCACCACCTTGCTTCCCCTGTGAAAGGAAAGCCATTATCATCCTTTGAGTTCACAGTGAGGATAGTTTTTCCAGCTAAGCTGTGTCTTCAGGCATAGTCAAATGAAGATCTAGAATCCTCTGAGTGATGTGGTCCATGTGGCATGAGAGTTGGGTTAATTCAGCAATTAATCATTACTTCATAGCACTTCCCTGTGTTTTCCACCACTGCTGGTTTAAGAAAGTGGAACAATTATGATTCTATGAGATAGTGCACCTCATCTCCTATGAGGTGAGTGCAGGTCAGAGAAAAAGGCAGAAATGTGGAAAGACACCCTCAGCCATTCCTTCAAAATGAAGGGGCTCCTCGTTTCTTGATCCATCTCTTCACATGGGAAATCTACATTGCTTTTGTTTTATCTTCTAAGCGTTTCCAAGTCAGAGAAAAGCAATAATTGGCAGACCCCAAAGGCAAGTCACATTTTAAATCGTACTACTGAGGTCACCAAATATGAGGATATTCCTCATAAAGCACACGTTTTGGAACACCTGACATTCTTGGCTAGAATTTAAAGCTTGACAGCCTCAATTTACAGTACATTACTGATTATTAAATGTTCATTAGAGAAAATGAGGGAAGATTGGCAAAGAGACTTGGGAAGTGATAGAAACATAAAGATGTAGCACCAGCTCAGTAGGTGGATGGTGACACCTCTGTCAAACCTGCTCGCTCAGACACTTGACAAGAAGAAGGGCTGCACTGACGGAGTGGACTTCTCCAAGATGTGGCTGCAAAGACGAGTGGGAGGAAAGCCAAAAATAAATGCTGAAGTTGTGGGACTGAAAAATGATAATTTAATGCATATGCTTTTGGGAATGTGCTTTTGTGTATTATGTGGGTGGAGGGGGAGATACTATTGGTCAGGGTTAGTTGAATGCAGAATTCTGACATTTTAATGAACTTGTTTTTGTTTTATGAAGAGAAGAAGGAGACTTGGAGAATCTTCCAAGACATGTTTAAGATAGTTTGAGAGCCAAAAATGGAATGCATAAGGAGTTAATGTATGATATTGGATTAGCAGAGTTAGCTTGTAGGGGATAGGGGTGCGGGCTTCTATCTAAATAACAATCCAAAGGAAAATTTAACAGTCGTGCTGCAAAATTTCAGAAGTTGATTTTTAATATAACTGTCCTGTTTATAGTGGTTTCTTTCATTTGAGGTTTCTTTGGTTCCTCCCTTCTCTTTTTGCAAAAGATCTTTCTGTGGAATTTGGTTCCTGAGCTACAGTATGCATGTAAACATTGGGAAGGAATTACTGTATATTGAATTACTCCATATTTTTGAGTGGAAAAATAGAAATTCAAAAATTGTAGGGAGGACGGATGGTGAGGGCTAAGGGCTGACTTTTCCAAGCCACAGGTTGATGCTTCTGTAATAGATTCCATGTGTTTCTTCTTGACAAAAGCTGACTTTGGCCAAGGGTGGGCAAACATTAAATATTTTCTGTTGGGAAGGGGAAGCACAAACAGGGTCTGGTGGCAATCTGCCTCCTGCCACTGAGGCAGATAGTGCTCTTTCCCCTCAGAGGTGGGCCCTCCTCTCCCACATGGCGAGCAATTTGTTTTTAGCAGACTGCTGTTCCCTGTAGGCTTCCCTAATCCTGCATCCTAGGCCTTCCCCATGGAAATTTCTCTCTGGGAACCCTGGGAAGGGAAGTGAGAAAGCCAAAGACCCCCTTCCTCCCTGCTACCAGCGTCAGGCAGCACTTTTCTGCCATCTCACAAGTGCTTCAGGCAAGCATCCAGATTTGGGTTCCCATTTTTTCTCTTTCCCGGAATTCCACCCCCACCCCCACTTAATCACATGTTTGGCATCAACTCTTACTGGATCATTAAAGCTGGATGGAGCCTCAAAAGAAACGCTTTGGGTTCAGTCTGCTGGCTTAGGCAGGTGAAAAACCAAAGCAGACAGTTGTTGTTGTTAGTTCCTGTCAAGTAAATTCTGACTCATGATGACCCACGTGTATCAGAGTAGAACTGCTCCATAGGATTTTCAAGGCTATGACCTTTCGGAAGCAGATCGCCAGGCCTGTCTTCCAGTGCATCTCTGGGTGGGTTCGAACAGCCAGCCTTTCAGCTAGTAGTCAAGCACATAAACGTTTGCTCTACTCAGGGACTCCAGCCAGTGTGTAGTCACTTTCTTTCCATGGGGAAAGGGTTCGCTACTGCCCCTACGATCCTGATCTTCAGGCACTCAGCGTGATGTGAAATTACTTTCCTTCTGGTCAGGCCTGACTTGGGGAGCTGGCTGGTCTGTCTCCTACATTTTGCCCCTATAATGCCAAATTGCCCATCTCATAGTACCTCCCCATGGGGGTGCTGAGTTGTCCTTGTCTTCTGAAACAAGAGACGTATCACAAAGAGGTGAAGGAGGGCAAACAAGCCTTCCTTGTTTCTGAGGTCACTTTCCCCTCCCTGGCCAGGTTCCTCCCAGGCATTTTAGCTTCTCTGGATGCTAATGGGCTGCCCCCATTACTTCTGAGAGCAGGTTGGCAGGAGATGAGATAACCCTTTTTTTGGGAGCCAGACTTCCACTGAGGCACTGGGGACATATTCTTCACTGGCATTTAAGGAACTGCGATTTTCATATTTGTCTGCTCTCCAAGGTGGACAGAAGAGGCTGATTAGAGCCTGAAGCCATTTGGTGGCCTCATTTATAATTGCTTACTATGGGAACCACTGGCAGATTTGGCTTTCATGCCTGAGAAGGATGAGACCAAAGGCTGACCCGAAAGCTAGTGATCGCCAAGATGAGTTAAATGAATTAGCAAAGGGAGCCACTTCTTTCTCTGCTCTCCACTTAGGCTTTGCCGGCCGTGTAAATAGCACCAGTGTGGCTGTTCTCTGAACCCATTTCATTTGCCTTCCTCTGGGTTATTTATTTATTTTCCCTTTCAGACAAAGAATTGCAGCTCCCATCAGGATTCAATTGCAACTTTGATTTCCCTGAGGAGACCTGTGGTTGGATGTATGACCATGCCAAGTGGCTCAGGAGCACCTGGACCGGCAGCTCCAGCCCAAATGACCAGACTTTTCCAGGTAAGCCAGCTGCAAGTTAGGAGATGAAAGAGTTAAGGCTAGCCTACTCCATGTTTTTCAGACCCAGATTCCCTTACAAGCTTCATAACTTCCCACCGCAGAGTAATCCTCTGCTCTTTGCCCACAAACCACCGTAGTCTTTGCTCAAGACGTCACCCCACAGAATAGTTGGTTGGTGGTTCCTAGCCCTCTCTTGTGATTACAGCACAGCTTGGGAGATGGGAGGGAGAGAGGAAGGCCAAGAAAAAAGAAAGAAAGAAGGAGAAATTGGGAGGTCCTAGGAGATGGGATGAGTCAATGTCCCCTTGTTCCCATAGCAGGCATTTGCTGCCACCATCACGGAGCCGTTTGTCAACTCCAAGGTGGGTTTGTTCTTAACATGGCTCACTGGGAAATCATTGGCCTTGAGTCAGACTGATACTGCTTCAAGGGTATCATCGCTTATGTAGCGAACCAAGTCAAGGGACTGAAATGTTGCCACACCCACAGGTTTCCAACATTGCTGCCAGGGACATGGCTTCTAGCAAAGTGTTGCTGCTAGTCTTCGAAATATTAAGCTGACCCTTTTGGTTTCAGAGAGCCAGATTTCAGAAGCCTCTGTTGGCATTATTGATAGAGACAGGCTGCCTTTAGCCCTTTTAACCAGTATAAGCAACAGTTGTCTATTATCTCAATTCGGGGCTGGGGTTGGGGGGCGGCAGGGAAGGACTCCTTTGTAATGTTTACTACTTTCAGTGGTGTAAATACTCCTAACCATTGCCGTCAAGTTGGATTCGTGGTGACCCCATGTGTATCAGAGTAGAGCTGTGCTTCGTAGGGTTTTCAATGGCTAATTTTTGGGAAGTAGATCGCCAGGCCTTTCTTCCAAGATGCCTCTGGGTGGACTCCAACCTCCAACCTTTCAGTTAGCAGCCCAGCACGTTAACCATTTATATCACCCAGGGGACTCCTACCATGGCTGAATTTGAGCTACCAACATGAGGTCATTGGAGGTGTAATTGAGAAGAGATTAAAATAGAAACTGATGAGTTTTAAGTATTACTTTTAGTTTTTAATATAATTTATTTGTAAGTTTATGTAATTTAATTTTTGATAATGACTGTGCTTAACAACTGGCTTGCAAAATTCCAGAAAATTTAACAGTCGACTCTTACAAGCCAGTACAAGTCTGTTCCAGGACACCACTGACTAGCCTTAGATTTTTCTGTACCCTAGCCCAGGCCATAGGCCCCCATATGCATTTGAGAGGACAGGCATTAATTCTGGAAATTCAGAGATCAAACTTTACCAGAGTACAAAGGGAAAAGGCTAGAAAATAAAAGGGGGAAGAGAAAGCTCCCCCGCTCCCCACAGGGTTCCGAAGAGCTGCTATGCTGACCCTCACCCCAAGGACAGCTGTGTCCCCTGATCCCAGGGGGCAGCAGTGGGGCAGGCACCATGAAAGCACCTCTAGCCAGCCTCCTGACATGCTTCTCCCGTCACACTCCTCCTGACACACTCTTCTTAACACACTCCTCCTGACACGCTCCTCCTGACTTGCTCCTCCCAGCAGGCTCCCGCACTTGCTGTCCCGGAGGGTCACAGCGTCTGCTCCGGAGAAAAACATTTTCATATTTCAAGTGTTTATCTCTTCAGCATTTGAGTGCTCAGAGAGATTAATATCTGCAGATCACCATGGCCTCGGGCAACAGGAGAGAACACTTACCCTAGTCCCAGCCATAATCACTCTCCCCCTTCTTGTTCACTGCAATAATGTTTAATTAATATAATGAGCCTCCTGCACGTTGGGAAAAAAAATACTTATTTTTATAACCCAGCCTGGATTTTTCATTTCATTTCCTCTCCTATGAGACTTGCTCCAATTAATTGGTTGTCTTTCCCAACCCCCACCTTTTGTCCAAACGTCAAGAAGGTTTGCTGGGTATGTGTGTGTATATATGTAGTGTTCATGTGTGTGTTTGCATGCTCATATGTGTATGTACGTGCTTGCATATGTGTTTCTGCCTGAAGGTGTTTGTGGTTTTCTGTGTGTATGTGCATATGTGTGTGCATTTTGTGTGTATATGCATATGTATTTATAAATATGTATACACATGTGTTTTATGTGTGAATCTGTGTGTGCTTGTGTAAGTATGTCTGTGTGTGTATGAGTGTTTCCGGTTTATATGCATGAGTATGTGTGTCTGTGCGTGTCTGTGGGGTGTGTGTGGAAGGGAGCTACTTGGCAAGAGCAGTTTGGATGAAGGAATGTCGATGTTTCTATACAGGGTGGGGGATTTACTAGCTCTCATTCAGCATCCATCTTCAGGTTCTTTCTCATAATTCCAGCGTCCTCCTTTGTACTCTTCTAAGCAGATTTTCTCTAAGAATGTCCAAGCCTTCAAGGCCACCAGTTAGCAAGTGACAGCTCTGGGACAGCTTACGTTACTCTCCATTTGACCCTGACCTTTACCTCTGCCCCTTTGCCCCTTCCCCCCTGCCTCCTCCTTGTCCAGCCCTCACCCTCACCTGAATGCTTGTCAGCTGACCCTCGGCTACTGGTTGCACCCGAGTTCTAGTCTTTGTCCTCCTTCAAGTTGATTCATTACACCCTGCAGTTTGGGAGGGCCTTTCAGAGCAAGCTCATGAAGCGGGCAGAATTCCAACCTTTGGCTGAATGGATGGGACGGAAAGAAAATTAGGGCCATAAGGAATCTGCTAAATCTAATGTTGTTCCTCCCTTACGTTATTGAGAAGGAAAATAATTATTTTGCTCTTCCAGGAGGAGTCCCCGAAGTTTGGAGAAGTGGCACTTGTAGCCGCCTCCAGAAAACAAAATCATAGTGTTATTCTCAGAGCCCCTTCTTCTGTCTTCTGATGATTTTTAAAAAGCATTTTCTGAATTTCCCATTTTCCTTCTCCTTACAAAACTTGGTATCGGGCTTCAAGCAGGAGAAGATAGAAAGCCCTTTCTGCTCAGGGTGGTCCTTTCTTCTTCAAAAAGAATGGGGCCCTGAGGGGAGCAGTTGGGAGAAAGGAAACAGCTGTGCTTGGTTAGGGGCAGGGCAAATGCTAATGGGTTCAGAGTCTCTGGCTCCTTCTAAGTCAAACTGCAAGCCAGAAAGGCACCCACACTTTGCCATTCCATGAAGAGGAGGCCATTCTCCTCCTCGGAGAGAAGTGTGCCCTATGTTTTATCCCCTTATTAGATACGCAAACAAAGGTGATTAAATTTAAGAAAGGAAGGTGTGTCCATGAAGTGTTGAGGAGTAGGGTGGAAGAAAAGGGAGTCAAGAAAAGAGAGGAAGTAGCCATGTTGAGATATCATACACAGCCTATTTGATTAGAAGTGTCTCTGGAAACTACTTACATTCCTTAGATATTTTCAGATTTAGTTGTTTTCTTTTTTGTTTGTGTGTGTGTGTGTTTCTTTTCTTTTCCTTTTAAGTAAGTAATTAGTTCTTTTGGCTGGTGGTCATGGTTGCTCAAGGCTGACAAGACACCCACTGGTTTTATTCCACTGTTTTTGTTTTTCAAAATAGTCTTTGAGGCCACTCAGAATTTCTTTTTTTTTTAGCTTTTTTTGTGGCTTAGCTGCCTGTAGTATGTTCATACTCGCCCCTGGGGACCCTGTTCCGAATTCAGTGACCCCTGGTGGTTGCAAAGGACCCAGTGCCGTGTTCTCTGAGAAGCCACTTTGCCTTCTCTGTAGCTACAGTGACATAGGAAGTGTCCGTGTTTATTGTAAACCTTCGCAGGAGTCAGCATATTTTCTCCAGACAGTCTCAAGTACTGTGACCATTAAAGAGTTCGGGGGGGGGAAGATCAGATTCCGGTTTTTAAGGAATGAGGCAAAAACTCCTTGAGGTGATATGGTGAGCTTATGTGTCCAGAGCTGCACCGTCCAATACGGTCGGCACTGCTTAAATACATGTGGCGATTTAAATCCAAATGGAATATAATTAAAAGTTCAGCTCTTCCATTGCACTAGGCACATTGCAAGGGCTCGATAGCCACATGGCTGTGGACGGTGCCGATGTGGAGCCTTCCCATCTTTGCAGAACGTTATATGGGACGGTGCTGCTCTAGTGCCTTTAGACATCAACATGAGAGGGAACTCCGGGGCCCTTGCTGATGCTATCGCTCTCTGGTTTGGTGCAAAACAAGAAGCAAGTAGTAGGGGGAAGTGGGGAGGGTGTCATCTCTGTGATCCCTTGGCAGGACTGTTCAGTTGCTGGTATTTTTATCATTGTGTGTTCCTACCTTCAGTGAGCAACCATAATAAAATAAGCAAGTAGAATAGTATTAAGTGGTGTAGGAACTATTTCTTTCCATCAAAAAAAGCATCCTATGTAAGTACTAAGTAATATCAGTAATAATTATTATATTATAATTATATTACTGTCTGGAATGAGGCAAGAAGGAATAAAGGGTACCATCCCAGTCCAATGGGGCCAGCTTCAGCACCTGCAAGTTTGTTCTCCCTAAATGTATGCTGTTTTATACATTGGTTGACCTTGTGAAGTGTCATTATAATGTTACTTCTTTTCAGTAACTTTAAGTCAAGGTAAGGAGAGCTATAAAGAAAACAAGCAAAGCCCATTTGGAATGGTGCTATATTAGGAAAGGACAGAGTTTCGGCTGCCTAGCATTTCCATGTTTACAGGATTGAGAGAACAGAACCTTCACTCTGGGCTCTCAAACAAGCTCAAGTGGGAGTAAGTCAAGAATGCTGATGTTCTGAGATATGAAAATTTTATGAATGGTGACTGTTCTACTAGATGTAAGTGGTCAACTTATTGAGTCCTCATTTGGCTTGCTTTGATACAAGTTAGGCCATTGAATATGTTCTATTAGAGCAGCAACCAGGACTGTGATTCATTGTAGGACATGCACAAGAGAAGACTAAGTGTGGATGGGTATGGATGGGTGGATGATTACAAGGAAATAAATGATGAGTGCACTTGCTTATGTTGGGCCTGATTTTTGACAGTGTATTAAAAAGCAACTATCTGAGCTCA